AAAAGTTGCCTAGAAAATGCATTGGAGAATCCATGTAGTTCATAAGTGATTTGTGGAAGAAAATGTCCATTTGAGCTCTGTTATAGTTCTCCCATACAAAAAATAATGATGTAAGCTGATAATGAAATGTAATGTATTAGTCAGTAAATGAGGGACAGTGTTTCATGTTTATACAGCTTTCCAGCAGAGGATTAAGGAACTGATGTTGCTGTGCATGCAATATTTTCATTTCTAATGTCTTCAAATTACATGTGCTAATGTAGATCGTTCTGATAGAATGCTAGAAATGTAAATTCAGCTTCTGAATGACCTGTGAAACCTCTGGAGCCTACTATGAAAGGTAGACCTGTGTTAGTGTGGCCAGATGAGCTGTGAGTGTGGCCAGATGTGCCATGTTGGTAACTGAGAGGTGCCTGAGCACCATGGACAGAGACCAACAAAGCCAGGCAGTGTTGATCCATGGAGAAAGAGAGATTGCTCCACCTCTAATCTTCTGGATCAGAGAGCTCAAGAAAACTGTTACTGCCGAGATCCTTGACCAGCAGTTTTTCCAAGTAGGAGTCTTTTTCACAGATTTCCTAAAGTCTGGTTCATCTCTGTTAAGGTTTGTCTCTTCAGTCATGATTGGCCTTTCTTTCTCCATGCTGCTGATGCTTCTCAAAAGGCTACCTCTTAGTTTGGTTTTCCATTTGTACTTAGATGCAGAGCCATCTCCCTGTAATAATACTCTTTATAAATAAATAAAAAAATATTTTAAAATCATACTTTATTTTGGAGATAGCCACACTCTTCATGAATTATGGCTGACCAACGTGCAATAGTTTGTAGGATTCTCTGTACAGTAATTTATAAAGTCTCTGTGATGTTCAGATATTGTGTCAAATTCATCCTAAATAAGTCTAAACCTTTAATCTCTGCTTATCTGTCAAAGTTCTTTTTTTCTTTTTTCTCTTTTTCTCTCCCTATTTCTCTCCCCGTTTCTCCCTAGTCTGGAGTCATAAATTAAACCTTATGACGTAAATTTGTCTAATTTGCTGGTTTTCCAAGGGAATTGATAGGAGACTCATCAAGTGTGTGTTAATTCTACATTTCAGGGCACCTACAGGAAATATCTCTATCACATAATTCAGCTTTGCCAACATGTGGAGAAATAGTCTTTTTTTAAAGCATCAGAGACAGTTCAAGATTGCATATAGCATTTTGGGTGGAAAAGATGTCCTAGTGTTGTTTTGGCTTCCTTAAACTTGAAGTTAAGGCATCTTAATATAGTCACATTTAAGAAAAGTTTACAACTCCAAAGGTATTTGAATGTATATATGACAGAAAATCTATTAAATATTTAGCTTTTCACTTAAAAAGTACATGATGAAAATTTTGATGCTCCACAGATTGACTGTAGACTTGCTACTTTTCCTGCGCCTTGATTAGTTTGGTTTGCAGATCTAATTTCCAAAAGACATGGCATAGTTTTCCTTTCAACATGTGCATGTATCACAAGCCATTTTTTTCTATATGCAGATAATTTTTAACTCACTGCTCATATTATGATGATTGATAGCTTTTTTAATGGAAAATATTTTTGTTTGTTTTGAGTCTGGTTTTAGCAGCACAGTTAGCAGAAACTATCAAATTAACAAACATAGAGAACTTTCTCCTGTGGTGGGATATGGGCTTGTTTCTACTTGCATCAAGTTCGCTATTCTATGGTTAACTGTATTTGATGGTTACAAGTAGAGGTTCCACATCTCTTGCTTTCCAGTGTGGCAAATCATGACTGTTATTCTTCTGGTGCTAGCCAGACAGATGATTTTCAATGAAAAAGCACCACACAAATGTTATCTTATGATAAGAATTCAGTTAAAATAAAAAGATTCACAATATTAACGTACTGCATTTGAACTTATTGTTCATTCTTTGTGAGTTTGACTAGTCCTTGAGCATGTGGAATGCATTGTAGCAAGTTTTAATATGAAAATTAATGAAGTGATCTGAAATATATGACTGATTATATTTTGAAAATGTATTTGAAATTTTAGAACATTATATGTCTAATTAGAAAGCCTGAAGTCTTTACTAATTCTGTTTTATAATGTTTCCTCCATTCTTATACACAATTGATGTGCTTCAGTAACAAGAAATAAAGCCAACAAGCAGAGCCAAGATTGGAATCAAAGCTGCGATTTTAGCTCTGTCCTTATTGAAGTGACCTCACCTTGAAGAGAATGAGCCACCACTTCTAGAAAATTCGTATAAAAAGACTATCCAGGCAAAAAATAGTGGCGAGATTTATATTCAGATTATCTGCCTGCAGGAAAGCTGTATTTCCCAGTTAGCCTGTGAGCAAAGTAGAATTCCTTTATAGATTCTGGTATTTGCTAGGTGGGTAGCACCTTTCATAGAGTTTCACAGAACATGGCAGTGTTTGGGTGTTTGTGTCACACCTTTCAGCATTGTTCAGAGAGTTGAACTGAGATGCTGGCAATGTTTTTGTGTTTGTGATCAAGGACAGTATTGCTTCTTGTGCTCTACCTACAACTTGTACAGTTTATGATCAAATGCACTCAGGCTGCAATTGTCAAATGTTTCTGATTCTGATTTTATGTTTTAGGAAACATAAAAACAAAGTAAACACATCTAGGGGAAAGGAATTGACTTTTACAGCTAGATGGTGACAGTATTTTACTGTAGCTGAACTTTTGTTTGCCTTGTAAATACTGAGATGAAAAAACAATGTTCTCTGCTCTTAAGCCTGTAAGAAATGGAGATATTGAATAGTAAAAGAGAGTATGGTCCCAATTCCAGAAGTATTTTTGCTTAGCCTGTGGTATATTACTGTAACGTCCAGTTTTGTTTTGTACATCTTCACAGCTCACCTCCACTTGAATGATTTTCTTAGAGTGAAAACCTGTTAAAAATGAACCACATGGATTCATACTGAAAACAAGATCAAAAATTAACACAGTTTATTTGCAAAATTAAAAATTATATGAATGTAACGTGATTTCTGCAAAAAATATTTTAAATTATATCTTTCAAAATTGTTACAACTTCCTAATGAAGAGGGAATTTTTGTGCTTCACAGAATCACAGAATGGCCATGGTTGGAAGGGATCCTCAAGGATCATGAATCTCCAACCTCCCTGCCACATTCAATATTAAATCAGGCTGCTTAGGGCCCCATCCAATCTGGCCTTGAACACCTCCAAGGATGGGGCATCCACAACCTCTTTGGGCAGCCTGTTCCAGCACCTCACTACTCTCTCTGTAAAGAATTCCCCCCTGACATCCAACCTAAATCTGTCCTCCCTCAACTTAAAACCACTTCCTTTATAATCTCTGGTGGAAAACAAATGCTTAAGAAATGCAAGTCAGAGAACATATTAAAGAACTAGCAGAGGTGACTTCTCTAGGAATGATGCAACTGTTCCATAGTGTGTGTTTCAGGAATTTTTGAATTTGAAAATGAATTTTTTTACAGTTGACTCAACCAGCTTTTATTGATCTCTTCCCAATATGGCTGATAAATAGGCAACTGCTTCAGTATTCCATGGTGAATCTTGTAGATTTATATCTCACACGGAGATGTCATTTCACTTCACTTATGTTGTTATAATAAAAATATGGCTGAAGTTATACAGATTTTGCTTACTCTGTTCTTTCCTGGAGAGGAAAACGAATTAGTTTTTCATAAGTTTTTTTGCAAGAACAGAATATTTCTGTGAGTACTATGTAAGTAGTTACAAAGTTTTTGTTTGTTTTCATTTTTATTAGTAAAGTATTTGTAAAGGAAGAGGTATTCAGTGCTGAACAGGCCTTAAAAGTCTCTTTTTTCTTTTTTTCATCTTCTCTCATTTTTCCTATGCTCATTTTTGTTAGCACAGGATCATACTGTTCTCTTCTGTGCTGTCTTATTCTGCTTAGGCACACCCTTTTCTGTTGCTCTTGGATCAGAACTGTCTTTTACATCTCTTGCTCAAGTGAACACAAGCATAGAACTGTAATTTCAGAGATCTTCCTGGTTCATGGTACCAGTGTGTTAAAGAAGAGAAAAAAGCAAAACTGATGAGTAGGCGTGTTAACTGTAAGGCAGAAGAGAAGAAACTGTAAGGCTTGAAAGAAGGCATCCAAATTTTGTGTTTTATAGTATCTCCTCTTCTACCCTCCCCTCTCCTTTTCTCCTCATGATGTTTTACTGATGAACTGCTGGGCCTGCTTTACAGATAGCTGGACATGTCTGGGCTTTCAGCATTTTGTTGCTCCCCTCATCACTGTTCTTTGTCACAAATTCAAATTCAAATTCAAGAAGGGAGCTCTTGAATTAAAGTGTTCTACATTGCCACTGAAAGCCTTTAAGCAAAGATGGTCTTTGATGCCTTCATATTATTAAAATCTGTTTTAAAATACTATTAAAATACTTTCTACATTTCTGGACTCACAGCTTAATGTACAGAAAAAAAACTGTTATCAACTGAAGGAGTGAAAAAACCCAGTCACCTAAAGAGAATGAATTCACAATTTTATTTATTTATTTTTTTTTAAAGAAATTAAAAGAAAGCAAACTGAAGTGTCTCTATCCAAACCAAAATTATAGGTTTTGAACTGTATGCAAGAAATAACCATTTGAGTGCCTGGAGCTCTGGCAGAATCAAAACCTTGTTTGTTGGGGAATGGCACTGAATGGCACTGCCTCCTCCCATGAGAACTGTCTATTAAAGAAGTTTGAGACGGTTGATGGAGACAATCTGGAAACACAACAGCTGATGCCACAGATCATATACATGACCTATTAGTTTCCACTGGTGACCAAGACTGTAGATGGACAACCCTTCCTGATTCTTTCTGATCCTCACTGTAAATTAGTTGGCTTATAGTCTAGATTTTTGTAACTGAAAGTGCTTTTTCCCCCGCCTTTATTAAAACATAGACATTCAAAAACTTGAAAGCAGAATAATTTTATTTTATCTTAATTCATGGAGGTAACGCCATTTAATTTTCCATAGGATTGGCCTTTGCTGCTCTCTCTTCAGTCCATCCAGTTTTTGGTTTATATGGTTCATTCTTCCCTGCCATTATATATGCCATATTTGGAATGGGACATCATGTTGCAACAGGTAAGTGTCTTTCTGCTCTAAACATTTTCAGAAGTATGAAACTGGAAAAAAAAGAGTTATTAATGGAAGGAATATTCTCTAAAAACTAAACAGAAATTAAATGTTTTTGTGCTTCCTTTTACAAATTTCTTCCCCCAGTTTAAGTACTTTAAAAAGCCCATTAAGGATACACTTGGGGTAATTCTGTCACTGTAACTTTATATTACGCTTACACTTCTTTTGTAAATGTCGTTTACTAAGGGATTTTGGATTTGAATTCCTAAACTCTTTTTTTTCCCCCAATTTTTAAGATTTTATTATTATTCTGTAATTTTTAAGATTTTAAAATCTTAATCAATTAGAATCTGCTTCAAGATAAGATTTTAACAAAAAGTTCAGCAAAGAAGATATATGCAAACAGCAGCTAAAAAGGCTCTGTTCACAACTGCTATATAATTCTCCATATCCATCATTGAAATTCTTTTTCTACCAGCAATTTCTGTAAGATTAATGGTGTTCTGTGTACATATACAGACAACAAGAATGATGTTTGTTAGTGGAGTCTGTTATGTCAGTGTGAAGATCAGTCACTTGAATAACAAATCCCTTTTTCTTGGGCCAGAAATCATCTTTTTCTTGATTACTCTTGATGTAATTGATGATTGTCTGAAGGCAGTTTCTGCTGTGATATAATATCAAATGTAGAGTCCTACATAAACTGTTCTCAAGTTCAGTCTTATTAGATAAAAAATTTAAATATTAAATATTAAAAAATTTAATATTAAAATGTTATAAACCCAGGTAATATATGTCATGTCATAAAAAAAAAAAAAAAAAAGTTATCCTCCAAAAGTTCCTTCATACCTCAACATGACAGGAAAATTAACATTTCTGTCATAGGAAAGAATTTAGTACCTAAAAAATGGAAAAATTGACTAAATGAAGTAAGCAGGAAAGCCATGAAAAGTGGTAGGTGAAACATGTGTAGGAAGATTGGAAAGCCAAAAAGAGAAATTTGAAGTATGCCATGGAGAGGAAGATCAAGTGGATGACTGAAAATTCCCTAAGTGCATCAAAATTGGTAGGCTACGAAGGAAACTGGTGGGAACGGCTTTCTGAGGAAAGTGAAGCCAGTGCATTCTGTGACAAGGCCACAAGATTTTTGAGTTACCACTCCGATTTCATTTACCAAAAAGGCTCTGTAGAGAATCCTGGTACCTGCAAACCTGACCTTCACCCTTATTTTTAAGACTAGGGTAAAACTATAAGATCACTGAAAGTTACGTGTAATCAATGTCTATATGAAAGGTGTTAGTGTGACTTCTGTACAGGAAAATCCCATCTCACTAAAGTCATTGAATTCTATAGAAGTGCCAGTAAGCAAATGGCAAAAGGAAGTACTTTCAATATAAGATATCAAAATGGTCAAACAGTTACTGATAAGGTTGCACAGCAAAGGTTATTAAAAAAAGTGAAGTTGCCCTTGTGATAGAAGAAAGTTCTTTTATTAATGATTAGCTAGTTGTAGGATAAGAAGCATAAAACAGGACTCAGTGGTGATTTTTCAGGATGGTGGAGTCCCTTGTGGGTGCCCAAAGAATTGTGCTGGGAAGTTTGATAAATAGGGGTATACCAAAGATGAGGGTAGAACTGTACTTATCACATCTTGCTATAGTAGAAGTATGGATAGCTCAATGAAACTCATAAGGGATCACTTTAGAAGAAAGTATAGATTAAAAGATATACCACAGCAGATGCTAAACTTCTGGAACCTGCTCCCAGAGGACATTGCAGAGGCAGAAAGTACTATCAAGTTCAAACAGAGATTCAACACATTTGTGAATGCTAGTCCATAAAAAAAAATCTAAAATACTTGCTAACATCCCTGGTGCAACAGCTACAGGATGCTGAGGATTATGTAGGGAATGGTCTGCAGAAAGTGGCCAGGCTTGTGTGCGTTGCCTAAGTAATGCCTCTGACTGTCACAGCTGGAGGCAGAATGTCGAGCTAACTGGACCATTGGTCTGACATAGTAGGGCATTTGTTAGACTCTTAGAGCTTTCATGATATATTTGTCCTTTTAAATATTGAATTATGATCTTTCTTTATCTTTAATGAAATGTTTCATTAACCTTGCTTTGCCCTTCTGAGCAATTTTTTATTTCCTTGCCTGTCTCCATTTATTGGAGTGCAGATTATTTGTTGAGTTCTTGAATCAGCAAACTATATTGGACTAGGTCCTATGTATATAGCATGATTTAATTATCCTAGAAATTTGAATGGTGAACATTTGTGACTATTGGGAAAAAAACATTTCATCACACATATACCCAAAAACATTTATGTTAACTTCAAATCACTGTGAATTGTCATGTTGCAAACTCTTTTGTTAATGTGTCTACATGACTGTGCATTAATGTAGACACAAATGCATTCAATTTGAATGTATAAATGGTATCTTACATGAAAAAATTGCCATTAAAACTACTTCAGAAATTCTTAAGAGTGTCCAAAAGGATACTTCCACTCAAAATGGTCAAGTTTTTAAAAAGAGGCCATTAGTGATTTGTATGGGTATAGAATCATTGGTAGCTAATCTGTGGCTTTTTTCTTTAATAGGAACTTTTGCCTTAACTTCCTTAATATCTGCCAATGCAGTTGAACGTCTTGTTCCTTCCATTGGCAGTAATTTCACTGCAAATAATAATTCAGGAATCTTGGGCCTGTCAGAGTTTGAAATGCAGAGAATTGGAGTTGCAACAGCAGTTTCATTTCTTGGAGGAATCATTCAGGTAGGTAGTGAACACATACACTCTGTGTTGCTGATGCTCAGCATTTGTGACAGCTATGGCATTTGTAATATTTTTTTTCACTTCTCTTGGAAAAACTGACCCTGGGTCTGGTCTGATATTCATGAATGATGAAACGTGTAAGAATCTGGTGTAAGAATCTGTTGCTCCTTGGTTGAGATGTCGTAATAGTCTGTGTGCACGCTCATGAAATGTTGCAATATGAAGTAAAATCACATTCAGTCAGTTCTAATATAATGTTCAGTCACTGTTGGTGCTCCCTTTCCTTTACCTTCAGAAACAAAACATGAAAAAGCTCTCTGGTAAGTTGACATGTTCCTGAGTTTTTCTGTTGCTCTTGTCTTGAAGAGAAATACTATACAGTATTCAATAATTAAAAGCATTGAGGAAAGCATCTTTACATTCTCTTTAGAGTTCACACACCCACTGTTAAAGCATAATAAATTAGTAAAACAGATGTCTTCAAATAATTCTCCAAAGCTTATACAAATGATCAATGATCTTTTTAATTTTTTTCTCTTTTCCTATTCTGACCACAAACACTGAATTTCTTTATCCATTGCCAATTGCTCAGGTCTTCGAAGAGGGCTTCTACTTTTCCTTGTTAGTATTTAAATGGAAGAAATGTTTCAGCCCTTGACATTGCAACACTTTCTGGTACCCATCCTCTGAAAGAAACATGGATCCCTGTGCTTGGTGCTTTGGGTCCATCCACCATGTAAAGGATGAGCCAAAATGCCCAGAACTGGCATGTCCAGTGTCTTGGCACTTGGCAGGAACTGGGGCATGTACTTATGCTAGTTGGTAGGAGGTATCATGAAGTGTGTTCACTTCTGCTGTGCTGTTGCTGTTTCAATTCTTTTACTGCTTACTTAAATATGCAATATAAGGGAAAACCCAGAGGCAGCATAACAGTGTAGACCTAGTTCTGATCACATCACACAGGTTGCCAAGCAGATGTGGGGTCTCCTCCTTGGAGACCTTCAGAAGCCACCTGGCTTGGGCCTCCTGCTCTGCATGTCCCTGCTGGAGCTGGAGTGGGCCAGATGGCCAAGAGAGCCCTTCCAGCCTCAGCCATCCTGATGTTCTGGTGTTTTTGTGCTTGGCTTCTGTATGTGTCTGCTTGTGCCAGTGAGTGTATCACACCACTGCATTTTGTGCAGAACACTTGTAACAGAAAAAGGTCCTTTGAGCATACACACTTGGGAGTGCAATGCTCAGAGCCTGACAGTCTCTTACATCATCCCTTCTTGTGTGTTAGAGGCCAAAATGCCTACAGCAGGATGCTGGTGACTGCAATTGATCTAAGTTCAAAATCTAGTGCAGAAAATTGTTCTTAGCAAAATCCCATTAGGTGTGTAAATCCACTTCCATTTTCTCTTTCATTCTGAAAAGTACTGCCTTTGCATATGCCTTAAACTGTCCCAGGTGACTTATCTCAGCCTCTGCCCTGTTCAAGCTGGACTGCAACGAGAACTAGAAAATCCTCTGTATGGGTTTTCAGAATGTGTCTGGCAGGGAGCTGAGCCAAGTACATGGGCTTCTCTCCGAGGTCAGTAAGGCTACATTTATTACAGTCCTGCTAATAAAGTTGGTGCTTGTGCTGCCACTAATGCTTCATGCAAGCAAAATGATCAGAGCATCTGCCTGGGACACAGAGAAAAGATTACAATACTTATTTTCCATATCCCAGAGGATACTCATCAGTGAAATTTGGGTGGAAGTCCAGATCAAGATTGTGAATAAATTTTGCCATCATCTTAGGTCCGTTTTTTCCACCTCGATTCCAGTCTTCTGGCTAGCAGTTGCTGCAATTACCGGATAAAGAGACAGGGAAAATCTTGTTGTAATTGAGAGCTGTGACAGTGATCTGTTTCTTTTCATCAGACTAAATTAGAAGTTAATGGATAGCTTGGAATAAGATATGGCATTCTGAGATAAAAATATGATGTATTTTGGGGAAACAGATTTCCATTAAAGGCATCCTGAATTACAAAAATTCATCGAATTGTCAGGGCATTTGGGATGATACTTCTCTGGGAAAGGAGTAGACCTTAGTTTTGGTGTCTGCCCATAAACATGTTTCTTTATACCAAAACACAGTGTTCTAATCACAAAATCACACACACACACAAAAAAAAAAAAAAAAAAAAGGGATGAAGTGTCTCTCTCCTAAACAGCTGATTCCCTCTGAGAAAGAACAGGCAGAGACCTGAATCGATTTGGCTAGAAAAGGAGTTTGATACTGTTTTTCCAGTAGCCTGGCTAAGCACTTTAAGCACATTCCCTGTGGTTGACTTCATTTTCTTAGCCTAGGAACCAAATGATCTGAAGGAGGACCACCACGTCTTACTCTGAGTAGAGCTCAAAACAAAACAAAACCAAACAAAAACGAGCAAAAACCCAGCACCTTCCAGACCATGGAGTTTGAGGGTTTTAAGGTTTGTTCTCCAAAAGTGAGTTCATGCAACAGGTAACCATTATCAGACTCAATTACTTTGGACAGAAAGTTTGAGATTAGTCATTTCCAAAGAGCCTGTTACGTGATAAAAAGTTTTTACTGTCCATAAAGTTAAATTGACTACACAGTGAAAGTGGAATTCCAACTATAGTAAACTGAGTTCGTTGTCATGGAAAGTAAGTATTGAAAGTGGACAAGAACTAAAAGGACTTGAATTAATAAAGAGGGGTTTGGTTTTTTGCAATTACTCATTTCTCTCTGGCTAACTCTCTATCCTCTTCTTGTAGTTATCAGGTTCAAATTATGAAACAGTAAAGATAGCTACAAGAAAAAGTTCCTTTTGCCTGATCATTCTCCCAGTCCCACATTCAGTTTTAATACTTTTCTAGAATTTCTTTTTCTTTTGTTGTTGTTGTTTGTTTGTTTGTTTGTTTGTTTAGTAATCCTGTCTTCCACCACTTCTGTTGTTTACTTGTACTATAATTTTATAAAGTTTGTTGAAACAAGATGCATAACTGTTCAAACATCTCTGATCTTCTGTAAACAAGAATGTTGCCCCATCTTCTGAAGAAAAATCTGTAGCTCCTTTTCTGAATATCTGCAAAACTAGAAACCTCAGTGTATAAAGCTGATGCAACTCAAAATACTGGACTGACCATACATGTATTTGAAATCTGTGTATGTGTGAGGCCAGTGTGATATCAGGAAGCTTAGGATCTCCCAGAGGAGTGGAAAAGCTGTTGGATGAAGACACCAATGTTACAGTGGCTTGGGACAGAGTGGATCTCCACAGAATTATGCAGTGTTCAGCATAAGGCTCATATCTCTGTAGTTTCAGCACCTAATACATTTGGCAGCTATTGACATTACTGACTTTGGGAATCATACTACGGACAAGCTAGTATCGACTAGGTGGTCCATCAAATATCAGAGGAACAGGAGTCTTAGCATCAGCCTTACTGGAATGTTTGCTTTTCTCATGTATTTGACCAGGGTAGTAAGCAGTGTATGAAAACAGTTTCTTCAAGTCTGCTTTCATTACTAAGTTTAATGTTAGAGTCTGGTAAACCAGTGATGTGAATGAGATGGTGCAGGTGGTTCAGTGGTCCCATTGTAAGCTGCATTCATCCTTCAAAGGACTTTTGCTTTCAATCCTCATTTACCTTACAGTTTATTAAAAGGAGCCCATCTCACTGCTCTGTCACCTGGAAGCTGCACATTTTCACCCTTGCTAATGCACATACCCTTGCTCTCCAGGTAGCGATGTTCATGCTGCAGCTGGGCCACGCCACCTTCTTGTTAACAGAACCAGTGATCAGTGCAATGACCACAGGAGCTGCGACGCATGTTGTGACTTCACAAGTGAAGTACTTGCTGGGAATGAAAATGCCGTACATATCAGGACCGCTAGGATTTTTTCATGTGAGTCCAGTAAAAGAGATGGGTTATTTCATTAGCTTAACCTTTTCTTAAATCATGATACATTTTAAAAAAATTATATATATGTGAAGAATTTGTGAAGTATGTGTGAGAAAGAACTGATGTAATACCAAAATCTTCGTTTTACTGTTTCTTTTCGTAGAAACAGATTAGGAAAACTTGATGAAGAATTAGCAAGACTGGGTCTTATTTTGAAAAGATAAGGAAACTACATTTTCAGTATATGCGTATTACAGCATCAGTAATTCTCTTCATTATCTTTAGCAATGAGACATTCATCATCTACTAAAATATTTGTTAATTCTTCAAAAGCTTTTTCATAAATACTTCTTAATGTAAGCAGCCATCTGTTTTTTCTTTCTTTCTTTCTTTCTTTCTTTCTTTCTTTCTTTCTTTCTTTCTTT